GACTGCCAGCTTAGGCCCGATCCCCCAGGGAGCGGGCCTAAGCCAGCAGGTGGACATCCCCCGAGGGGACTCAGACTGCGAAAGGGCACAGGCCGGGCTGAGGGACCCCCCCTGAGTGCACAAATTTTTGTGCACTGGGCCTCTAGTGTTAACTATAATTAAAATAGATTTAAAAAGCTTTTTTTGTATAATTTCAGTCTTTAAATTTATTGAAATCGTTTTGTGACTATCCTGAAGAATATTTTATGAGAATATTCACTGTTAACATTTTTATATATTCCATTAGAATTTTTTTGTACATGTAGGTGGGCAGACCAATAAGTATGTGTGAATAAATCTATAAGAACTAAGTGTACCTTTAATGTACCATTTTTATTTGTTGCATGTTATTCTATTACTCAATTATATCATAATATATTTAGTTAACCAACGTATTATAGGGTTAAACATTTAGGTAGTTTCCAAACTTTTCCATTACAAAACAGGACTTTAATGATTATGACATCAATAAGTACCTGACTGTGACACTTAATATAATTATTGATTACTGCTTCTGGAAAGTAAATTAACTCTTCCAATAAAAATTGTGCAAAGATACACATACTGAAGTCAGCATGTAAGTGCTAAAAGTAAAAAAAAACATCATTAAGAATCTTACCTTGAATTTTCTTGAAAACTCGGGAATTCATAAACTTCAGAAATCTGTCTGCATAAAAGCTCGGTCTGTGAACGGAAACAGTGTCCTGAAAAGACAAATCAGGTAGCACAGTTTACCTCTCAGACAGTTCATTTCAAGCTCGAAGAAAGATCTATGCACTGGCTCTCTGTGGGCCAAGGCCCTGAACCAGAAGGTGTGGGTGTGGAGAGCCAGAAAGAGCAGTGCCTGCGTCCCACGGGGCCCAGGAGTTGGGCTGCGGGAGGAGGATCACAATCTGAGCAAAGATTCCAGATTCTCATGATGAAATAAAGTACTAAGAGGGGCAGGTGGGAGACAGCAAAAAGGCTCTGCTTTATAAACCCAAAGGGATCCTTATTCCATTGTGTGCCCTGGGGGGCTTTTAAATTCTTTTCTACAGACAGGCAGCCAGTGCCTCAGTCATCTGGAAGGAAGAGGAACACTTTTAGTCAGAACAAAAACTGGGGATGGAAACAAGCAAAACAACCCTAATGTAAGAGTGATATCTAGGCAAAAAAAAAAAAGTGTGCTGGTTTCATTTCCCAGTAATAAGGCGCACTGACACTGGGAAGCTGCCTAGGAGACAAGGCTGACAACTGCCGTAACACTGAATTATCTACTAATTAGGTAGAATTGAATTGCATTAAATTGTTGACCCAATTTGCTCATGCTTGGTAGGAGTCTTTAAGATGGAAGGGGCATTTTAATACAAATCTTACAAATCCAGGAAAGGAGATTGATGTAGAAGGTTAATCCTGTATGTTTATTCAGTAATCATTTACTATCCAAGAGATATATTCTAGAAATAGTATATTTACTTAATTTAATGCTCCATTTTGATTCCAGGATTTTGTATTCTGCTAAGAAAACTTCTAAAAATGTGTTTAGATTCAACCAAGTGTCTGCAGTGGGTCTGGAAGAGAAAACACACATTGGACCAAAGGCCTGGAGACCCGGTGCTGGTGTGAGTCCTAACTTCACAAGCTTTTGTGACCCTGGGAACAGAGTGTCTCAGCGTGTCTCTTTCTTCATCTGTAGAACAGGGTGTTAATGTGAGGCATGAGGTCATTCTGTAACCAGCCTGTTATGAAGGACATTGGCTAGAACAGCCCTCTTTAGCCAGTGATAAGGGTCCTGTAGATGATCGGGGATGGTGTCAATGTGGTGGGAAACATCCCACTGGTTGGACATGCTCTCCCCCCAGTATCCTGGCAGCTCCTGTCTGAAGTGGACACATATTCCCCACGAGTACAGTAACTGAGAAACATCTTAGGGAGCAAGGTGATTAAGACCCATCTTTGCCTTCCAAGAGAAGTTGGACTGTGGTTCTCTTTGGTATGAAGAAACATCTATAATAATAAAAGCATAATATGGTAATTAGACCGGACGTCTTTCCAGATGACCTTCTGGATGTCCTTCCAGACAACCTTCTGGACGAAGCCGGGGCTGTGAGGGAAGCCTGGGTCCCGGTGCCTGCTGGCGGCCGGAGGAAAACCCAGGTCCCAGGTGCCAGAGGGAAGCCAGTGTCAGCAGCCAGGGAAGGAAGGCCTACTCTTGCACGAATTTTGTGCATAGGGCCCCTAGTTGTTTAAATAAGAGGCATGTTTGTTAACAGACATATATCTTAATTATTGCTTATAATTTCACAAATACATAATCAACACAGAGAATGTCTTAAAAAAATCAACACACACACAAAAAAAGAAGATGCGTTTTAACTAGACAAAGGTAGGGGTCTCTTAGAAGCATTTGACCAACAGAGGACCAGGCCATTCCGATCAGCAATCTCAGCTGGTAACAGGAATTAACGTTGTCTTGGAAAACAGAAGGGGGTACGAGAGGGAGTGTTCTCTCTCTCCATTCCATGCTCAAGGCATTATGGAGTCCCTACTTTTCTCAGCTTGAAAGGGAAAAACTTAAAGAAGGAATCTTTGGTCTGAATAATAAGCCTCACTTTAATTCTTAGAAACAGACTTGTGAACCTGTTGTTTACAAGTGCATTCCCACTGATGTCATTCCAAGGCCTGTGGACAAAATGCAGATTTCCCACTGAAAGGTTATTACCAGGCTTCCTCAAAATGGAGAAAGTACGTGTGCGAGGAGAAGAACAGCGTCTATAATTTATCCCTTTTCAAAGGAAAGCATCAGCTAACATCTTTTACAATTTTGTGAGCAAATCTGGGACCCATGTATTCTTTGGAATTGTCACTTCAAGTTATTAATTGAGGGAGGCTGAGACCAGTGAATGTTCTGTCAGCGGCAGGAAGTTCAAGTCTAACATCAGATAGAAACACCCGTGTGCGCAGGGGTGGGGGTGGCAGGGAATAGGAAGGGAAGGAGGGGGAAAAGATAGGGAGAGGGAGGGGGAGAGAGGGAGATGGAGGGAGGGAGGCAGGAAGGGAGGGAGAGAGGGAGGTGGGGGGGGCTGCTTCTTGATAACTATTTTCTTGTTCTACCAATTCTGGGTTGAAAAGACATTCTCTTCTCACTGAGCTTTAGTCATATATAAATCCATAACAACGGAAAAGCCTTCACTTCCCATGCCCTTATGTGTTAGGTTCATTATTTATTAAATCCTCACATTCGTCCTATGAGGCAGGTACAAGGTACTATGACTTTGCCCTGGTAGAGGTGAGAAATCAGACTAAGAGAGGCCAAATAACAAGCAATGTGTCTGGGTCACATGGCTAGTCAAGTGGTGAATGCAGGGTTCAAATCCAGGGCTGCCTACCATCAAGGTCAGGTTCAAACCCGTTCTGTAGCTTGGTTTTGTGAGAACTTCCAACTGTCCTACTGGTCTTCCCAGTGCCTATGAGAAGTCTCCATTTACTCATAATTTCTTCAGATTTCACACAGAAACAAGATCATTTGGCTTTCCTGGCCTTTGTGTAGCTACCAGGCTGGATGGCCTCTATTTGGATAGCTGTTCCAAGTTATGTTGTCTTCGTTCTTAGATCTGAACAAGCTGAGTCTGATTCTGAGTTTGTAAAGACACTTGTTTCCTCGCCAAGTCTAGTGACACAGCTTTTCAGACATACTCTGGAGTCTCCGAGAAATCAGAAGAATATACAGTTTAATAAGGAACACGAAAGCCACTTACCCCATCATAAACAAGAGCTTTCCAGGAATGTTCTAACTTCTTCATTAGCCTAAGTGTAAACAGGCAGAAAAAGAAAATGAGAATGTAAAACCCCTCCCACTTGGTGAATTTTCAGAATCTTTTGTTGATGTATTTTTTTTTAAATTATAAAAGACCCCCCTCCCCAATTTCTTACCTATATGATTGCAGAATGTCAATAATGCCCATAAATAAAAGTAGTTTTTCTCCCCTATGGCTTTTAGCTGGAATCCCTCCCATTCTGTTGATAAAGCAAAAGAGAAAATATTTTGTAATATAAGAATAGGAAGTTAAAAGTCATTTCTAATAAATAGACTATAAATAAAAATGGACACTCTTTAGGATTTCTGGACTCTCTCTCCCTTCATCATTTTGTTCCTGGTCTCAGTTAAAGTTTTCCTTGGAATCCAGCGTGATGTAGTTCCCACAGATCAGAGTGACACCCAAGCTATCAGCTCTGGAGAACTGGGTAGAAAGGGTACAATTTTAAAAGTATTCCTATTTTAAAGCCATGAGCAAGAATTTTAAAGTATTTTAAATATTGCTTTTTAAAAATGAAACACTTTTATGTGTTCACTATGAGATTTTAAAATAAAATATAGAAAAGCACAAAGAAAAAGTGTATAAGGAATCCATTCCCAGGATGCAAAGATAACCTCTCTGAAATCAATAAAAATATATTTAAAATATGCTTTTATTGGTTTTAGAGAGAGAGAAAGGGTGAAGGAGAGAGAGAGAGAGATAGAAACATCAATGAGAACCATCAATTGGCTGCTTCCTGCACATCCGCTACAGAGGACAGAAAAGCACAAAGAAAAAGTGTATAAGGAATCCATTCCCAGGATGCAAAGATAACCTCTCTGAAATCAATAAAAATATATTTAAAATATGCTTTTATTGGTTTTAGAGAGAGAGAAAGGGTGAAGGAGAGAGAGAGAGAGATAGAAACATCAATGAGAACCATCAATTGGCTGCCTCCTGCACATCCCCTACAGAGGACTGAGCCTGCAACCCGGGCATGTGCTCTGGCCAGGAATTGAGCTGGTGACTTTTAACCACAGAGCCACACCAGCTGGGCAAGTAATGTATATTTTAAGGACTGTAATATTTCACTACACTGATGGAAAATAAATAACTTGATTGTTTGACATTTAGATATATTTGCAAGCAAGGATTTTTTTACAGTTTAATATGTATGAACTTCCTTTATGAAAGTGAAATATGCTTGTGGTTTAGTTATTGTTGAAAAATCCGAGAAGGCAGCCACTTACAACCAGGGAAAATGATTTCTTTCTTTCAGTCTCTTTGCTCAGCTGGTACACGCATGTGATACAGTCAACCATTTCAATAATTTTCTTTGGTTGTAAGTATTTCTGTTAGTCGGTATTCACTTTATACAATAAGCTAACTAATCCCAAAGTTACTATCACATCTGGCAGTGGCGACGGACCACATCTGCCAGGGGAGAGGTCTAGAACAACAGAATCCTCTTATGCAGATAAGAAGCTCTTAATGGGGACATAATTCCAATCATGTATTTGCTTAAATACATGTTTATTTAAATTCAAAGTATGATGGGTGTTTGGAATATGTAGTAAATGGGGGTAAAAACATTCTCAGCCCTCATTAAAAAATAGAGCCATTGGGGGGAAAACCATGTGGGTGAAAGAATGATAACTCAAAGAATGGCTACCCATCCCGTCATCCACAGAAGAACAGAAATGAAGCCTGGCTTAGGCGGGCACTGGAAATATCAAGGGGAACATTTTGTAAAGTATATGACTGTCTAACCACTATGCTGTACACCTGAAACTAATACATAATAATACTGAATGTAAAAATTAATTTTTAAAAAAAGAGCAGAGTTTGAGAGGAGAGAGACCCAGATATTTCTTCTCTATTCCCTCCATGTTTCAGTCCAGGGTTCCAGCACTGGCTGCGTCCCACAGCCACAGTTCACTCTGGCACCCATTCTCCAGGGACCGTGGGGCTCCTCCCATTGCCCCTGTGCCTTGGAGTGGCACTAGTCTTTGAGCCCTGACGAGCTATTGCTGCGTCCCTTCACCCCACCCACACTTCTGTTATGAGCCCCTCCATTAAAGTATCTTCACTGGAAACAAACCAACAAACAAAAAAAGAACTGAAACCCGGCTTAGTTCATTTCAGCATCAAGTAGGAATCTATTCCCCAAGAGCCACCATGAACGTAACATGATTGCATTTCGTCAATCACTCAGTGATGTGGGCTGCCCCAACCAAGAGGGTCTGTGGGCGGGTGGCTGCACGTACGTGTCCGGGTTCTCTGTGATGATCCCGTCCCCAGATTTCCCTGGGCCCTGGATGGATTCCATTGCTGTGGAGTAGAGGACCTTCTGCATCCCAGGCCGCTTCGCATCAGGCGCATTTTGTGCCGTGTCCTCTTCTTTCTCTTTGAGGCAATGGTCTAAGATGTGGATTCCCAGCAAAAGGCTATAGTCCATGATCTTGAAGCTTTCCAGCACCTGGATAAGGAAAAGAACCAGGAGGCCGGTCAACTCCAATGGCTTGTAAGTCTCATCTACACAGAACCAGAGAGCTCTAGCTATACAGACACACGGCACCTGCGTTCCCCCCCTCCCAGGAGGGTGGCTGATAGAGGAAAAATCAAAATAAAAACATTTGAGGCATTATTAGGTCTTGTGCAGTAAGGATTATCATAATGGCTCCAAGATAGTATTTTTATGCAAATCTAAAGTAAGCACATCTTTTCCTAATGTTCCACATAGTTACTCTAATGGTACTTATTGAACAATTTCCATGTGCCAGGTCCTAAATGGTTTACTTGGGCTCAATCCTCACAACTCTTTGAGCTATGTACTATTCTTCTCTTTCACACGTGAAAAAATGGAAGACACAGAGATCAAGTAATTTGTTCAATGCCACACAGCTCGTAAGTGGCATTGACTGGACTTGAACCCAGAAGTCAATTCCAGCACCCATACTCTTAAGCCCTAGGGCAGAGAAACCAAAAACCAATGGTCTCTACATCTTGTACCCTCCTCAGCATGAAGACTCAGCCGGAATATTTTTGTCTGGATTCTGCTCTCAACATCTTAATCTTGCGAGAGTACAGTGGTCTCGTCAAAGCTTGCCTTTCAAAGTTGCCATTTGGTTCCGTAGCAAGTCTTTTTAAAAATGATGATCTCAACAAAGAACATGACTTACTGCTTAATTATCCACTTGGCAAACAGTGGGGAAGAGCAGGAATTAAAAGTAGTTGGATGCAGCCAGCGAGATAGTGATGTTCTGACAGGAAAGCGATGGGAAACAAGGTCAAGATAAGAGGAAGCCAACAGGGCTTTCAAGTGTAGGTGAGGCTTTGACCTGTCTTCAATGATGAAGATTGTTTAAGAGGAGCCCCTGGAAATGGGGTATTTTCCTCTCTGATAAAATTATTTTTCTATTAGTTTGTACATGATTCTCCTCCACAACAGATTTTTTTTGTTGTTGTTAATGCTCATCTGAGGATATTTTTTCCATTGATTTTTAGAAAGAATGGAAAGGGGAGACGGGGAGAGAGAGAAACATCTATGTAAGAGAGAGACATCGATTGGTTGCCTTCCACACATGCCCTGTCCGGGCTGGGAATAAACTGGCAAGCCAGGTACATGCCCTTGACCCGGAATTGGATCCAAGACCCTATGGTACTAAGACTGGCACTCTAACCACTGAGCAACACCAGCAAGGGAACAATAGATTTCTTAATACCTGGCATTTCACACACAAAGCTGCTTAAAACAGCCCAGAAAGTAAGACCATCCTGAATGGCGGCACAGCTGACTCTGAACATACCTGGTAATTTGTCACTTAGGAAATGCCTTTGAGGCACAGAGTCTATAGGTACTTGTATAACCAGCAGTTGAATATCCAGAATTTCCTATGCTTCTCATTTTCCCTCAGCCCAACTGCTTTTTGATCAGCCATTTATGATACTATAAAGAGGGGTCAGGCCTTCACCACACCCACACTTCATGGACCATTTGAGAGCAGGCTCTGTGAACAAAGCACATGTGGCCTTGGGAACGTGGGTTACCTCTGGGCCATACATCTTTGCTGTCAATGAGGAAAACGGAAAGTGGGCTGCAAAGGAGTATCAACTACTCCCTAGTGTTCACCCTTCATCTCTTGGATGCTAAGCTGGGAACTTTCAGAAAGGAAGCAGACAAGAGCCGAGAGGAGAATCTTATTACCTATGAGGTTTAGGCGGTGAAACGTTCTAACCCAAGAGCCAAGAGAGTGGCCTGATAGTAATGAGGGCCCAGCTTCCCTAACCTGAGGGGGAGCGCTCCAAATTGGAAGGGGAAGAAAGGGTGATAGGAACAGCTTTCCCCATGGACTCAACACGATGGCATCAGCCCCCCTGATTGGTTTGAGTGCCTCACCCCTCCACAGCGTAGCACGGAGCCAAGCAAGAAGACAGGGCAGCTCTGCATCAGGGTTGCCAAGAACACAGCTTCTTAAAACACGAATAGAGACTGGATGCTTACCTCAGACAGAAACAAGTGCAAAGGGATCTCAGGCCTTTTATTAGCCAGACTGAATGGACAGCTTGGGGATTGTGTCCACTCAGGAGCTCCCTAAACCTGCACAGGGATCACCACCTGCAGATGCTAATTTTCATACCACATTATCAGTGCTAGTGGACCCTTCTTACACCGTTGGATAAGGACATGCAGGATAAAGAGCATGGACTCTGTGACCTTCGGCAGGGGTCATAGCACCTCCCTGTGTCTCAGTTTCTTCCCCTGTAAATGGTGACAATGATATTACCTACTGCATGGGGTGCTTGTGGAAATTAAATATGGCAATGCAGGTGAAGTGCCTAGAAAAATTCCTGGCACAAAGAAAGAGCTCAATTAACTGCTAGCTATTATCATCATAATTATAGGTCATGGTGACTCATTGCTCATGCTAGTGTGAGAGATTATAGATATTAGGTTGAAATAAACACCCTTGGAGTTATACTTCTGAAATAAAAAATTCCTAAAAATCCAACAAAGACATGCATTTCTAGCTGCTTACCAGTACCCTTTTGGTGAATCCTGATTCCTTTAAAAGCTTTGGGTTGGTGGGTGCCCAATAGTATAACTTGGATATTCAACGGGAAAAGGTCAGCTGACAACACAGCAATTCTGGTGAAGAGGCTATAAAATGATGGCCTTGTGATCTAAGGGAACAGTCTCCATTTTAATGGGCAAAAACCATAGCCTTATGCCCTAACAGCTCAAACTACTGCTTGGTCAGGATTCCCTTAAAGTGATGAAACGGCTTCAAAAGCAAATGCTAGTGACGATGTGGCGAGTTCCTAACAGGCCTGGGAGCGTACAGTGAAGAGTGTTACAGATCGAAAGGCACTCCTGATACCATAATATTTATTTCATTTTCTTCTGCAAGCTACCCACAAATTAATTCTGCTTGTCTCTTTAGAAAATAATTTTTCTTATATTTTTAATGCAATGTCCAACCTGAATTGCTTTGTTTGTACTTGAAGTCTCTTTTCTTGCCCAAGGACAGGCCAAAGAGAACACGTGCATTTTATACATGGTACAAAATTAGGCTGTGGTCCAATTTCAGCTATTGGTGCTACCCAATGCTTTAAGTGGTCGAATGTTTATCCTGGTTTATTTTTTAAAAAATTAACTTCAAGAGTTTATTTTTGTGTAGGGTGTAATTTGGTGGTCTAGTTTCACTTTTTTGCATGTATCTGTCCAATTTTCCCAACACCATTTATTGAAGAGACTGTCTTGACTCCATTGTATGCTCTTGCTTCCTTTGTCAAATATTAATTGAGCATCATGGCTTGGGTCGATTTCTCAGTTCTCTGTTCTGTTCCATTGGTCCATTGTCTGCTCTTGTGCCAGTACCAGGCAGTTCTGAGATAAGGACATGCAGGATAAAGAGCATGGACTCTGTGACCTTCGGCAGTTCATAGCACCTCCCTGTGTCTTGGTTTCTTCCCCTGTAAATGGTAACAAGTGGCTTTGTAATATAGCTTGATATCTGGTATTGTGATTCCCTCCTATTTTGTTCTTCTTTCTCGGGATTGCTGTGGCTATTTGGGTTTTTTTTTTAAAATTTTTGTAGAGTTTGTTCTAGTTCTGTGAAATATGCCCTTGGTATTTTAATGGGGAGTGCATTGAAGCTATAGATTGTTTTGGGTAGTATGGACATTTTAATGATGTTGATTCTACCAATCCATGAACACGGTATATTCTTCCACTTGTTTATATCTTCCTCTACCTCTTCTTTCAATGTCCTGTAGTTTTCTGAGTACAGGCGTTTTACCTCCTTAGTTAAGTTTATTCCTAGGTATCTTAATTTTTTTGTTGCAATGGTAAATGGGATTGTTTAGCATCTCTTTCTGTGAGTTCATTATTGGTGTATAAAAATGCCAAGATTTCTGGGTGTTAATTTTGTATCCTGCTACGTGGCCGAATTCATTTATTAAATCTAGTAGTTTTTTAATGGAGTCTTTAGGATTTTCTAGGTACAATATTGTCATCTGTGAATAATGACAGTTTTACTACTTCTTTTCCAATTTGGATACCTTTATTTCTTCTTCTTGTCTGATTGCAATGGCTAGCACTTCTAATACTATTTCGAACAGGATGGGCAAAAGTGGGCATCCCTGTCTTGTTCCTGTTCTTAGGGGAAGTGGTTTTAGTATTTGCCCATTGAGTATGATGTAGGCTATAGGTTTATCATGTAAGGCTTTTATTATGTTAAGGTATGATACATTTATTCCCACTTTACTGAGAGTTTTTATTTAAAAAAAGGGTGTTATTTTGTCAAATGCTTTTTCTGCATTAATTGATATGATCCCGAGAGATTAAGAAAAAGCAACAAATAAATTTGTAAAAGAGATTCATTTTCTCTCTACTCCTAAATTGGATTGTCAGCATCCTTGAACAGTGCCGCATTGTCAGGCTCCTAACTTTCAGAGTGAAAAACCTTAAAAATGATCAATTCCAATCCCATTCTATGGAAAGGACATGATAGTTAGAATTTGGTGAGGCAAAGTCACCATCCCTAAAAAAAGTTAAAGAAGAAAAAGATAACTGTACATATATTTTAAATCAGATTTTAAAACGTCTGCAATGAAAAATTCTGGGTACAGATTTTAGGGACGAGCATTGCAGATCTGCATCAATTAGAAATGAAGTAGTTCTGTTATTCATATCCTTCCAGTTCTTTAATTAAAGGAATCCATAAATCTCCCAAAATCTCAACATTGTGAGCTTTGAGAGTATGCAGCATTCTGCAACATGACAGCCACCAATCAATCAGTCTAGTCTGTCACTCGGCACACATGTTTTTTCCAGAATGTCTGCCTATCTGTGCATTTGTTATGCAAAACACAGGTTGCAATGCAAATACAGGTGCTTTTCCATCTAGCCTGGGCAAGACCCTATTTCCTCAGCTGTAAAAAAAATGAAAGCAGAAAGAGTTTATAGACGTATGC